AAAGAGCTTTTAAGAATGGTCACTGGCTCGGGGATTAACATAAGAATAAAAAAAATTAAAATAAAATAAAATAAAAATTATGAAGAATAGATGATCAGAATAAGCCTGATACAGAATTAAGCATAACAGGACATCAGAGCAAGCTCAGTTAACTAGTGATAAAAATGGAGTATATGCCATTTACTAACAGTAGGATGATTCATAACAACCGTAGGTTCAATGCCATATAATAGAGCTAAAAATCCTCACAGAAATTTGTAGCCAGTTGCTGGTTACCTGCATGCTATATGGTATTTTGTTGTTGCTCAATAAAATAAGCTAACTCTAAAAAAAAAAAAAAAAAAAGAATGGTCACTGGCTAAAAGCAAAAGCAGCTTTTGCTTGTTTGTGCCATGAATAACCCGATCACCAGCTATGTGTCAGGCCCTAGGGGAGGGCCTGGAGATAAAGTGGTGAATATTACAGGCGCTACAAGACAGACCAGAAGGACCTGCAGTGATTCAATGATGATCTACAGTACACTGTGATGAGGATTATTATAGAAAAGTATAGATTTGCACAGCAAGGGAACACAACCCTAATTTAGGAGGCCAGGGAATGCTTCAAGAATGACATAGTATTTAAGGTGAAGTCAAAAAGAATAAATAGGAGTTTGAAAAAATATTTACGTATCTCTTATAACATTGAATTTTTCAAATGTTGCACTAAAACAACAACACTAAGGGGCTGTGTAGGAAGATCAAAATGTTCCAAATGATTTGTTACAAGCATGTTATAAAGATCGCAACCTTCAGAATTCATAATTTTACTCTTGTTAGAATAGGAAACATACATCAGAGATAAACCCAGATCTAAGATCCAAGATTGTGACTTTATGACTCATGGAAAATGTGGGGGTAATTTATTGTCTTCTAGCTGTCCAGTACTAGGCAGGGAGTATGAATCACTGAAAGGTCAATATAGTTTTTGAAGGGAATCCATCCAGACCACATCCAGACCACACATCCTGGATCTAGCCAGGTGTATTTACCCAACCAAATCCTTTCTGCTTGGTGCCATGGTATGCCTTGCACGGCACTTCTTATCAAACAACTATTAGAAAAAGATGATGATTTCCTAGATATTTCTATATTCAAAAGGGTTCTTTTTGGAGTCAGTATAATTTTAAACAAGGTTTGATCCCATTCTGGTGTTTTTCAAAAGCTGTAACTTTTCTTGAGCGCGTTATTGTTGTTTATACCAGAATAGCTTATGCAGTAGGAGTTTACAAATCTGATATACTTTTCTGCCCTTCTACCCTCATAAAGTCTGTGAATAATAATATTTTTGAAGTAAATTAATCCTGCCATACAATATCATGTGTATTGGGAGTTATTGCCACCAAATATGTCAGGAACTATTAAAACATAGTTTTGCTTTGCAATAGCTATTACAAGATTGAACAAGAGCACACAAGAAAGGCTGTTATTCTGAAGACATGCTTGGAACACAATTGTAAATGTAGTAAATAGAGCTAGAAAACATGAAACAAATTAGTTGCATTTAAAATATTCCTGTCTCCAGAGATGTAAAAAGCTGAAATTTCTCAAAACAAAAAACAAAAACAAAAAAATTCGAAGGTGGATGCAGCTAACCTGATGTGACTAGCAAAAACTATTCTGTAAATATTCCACCATAATTCCATCATAACAAAATAACATTGAGTAAATAATAAAGGGTTCACTACCCTTTCTAAAGCAGAGAAACAAAAATGCTCTGGGCTGGCCATTCACACCAGATTTCAGTAAGGATCTCAGACTGTGTATTTGACATAAGGGACACACAGAAATGTCATGAAGATATTAGGACTCCTCTACCAAAGCAAGTTATAAGACTGGCCCAGATCCAAGGGAAAGGGAAATCAGATCTATGTTTTGATAGAAGAAGCTAAAAAGTCACATTTCAAAGGGCATGCCTTCAGGGAGTAGTGAAGGATTCTATTCATGTTTGCAATTTAGATCACAATAAGACTTGCCTTCAGACTAAAAGAATTTCAGTGGAATAGGTAGATATATTTATATATCTCACTAGGAAAGCCCATGAGAAATCATCTGAGTCATTGTTAATCACAAATACATGATCAAGAAGTCTCTGTAGATTTCTGCCAAAAGAACATGTCCACAGTTATTTTGGCAGAGATTAACTTAAACTCTTCGTTACTGATACTAAAACCAGGTCCTGGGAGAGTGGTACAGGAGGCTGATTGTTCATTACATAATCTTAGGAGATAGTTATAGGCTCATATCTACTGATTCTTGATCTCTGATCCTAAAGGGAAATAAAACAAAGCTCAATTAAAATTACCAAACTCACTAAGGTGACTGGGCTGTGGAAACAAATAGACCCAAATGGAAAATGATTCCAATATAATAAAAGTTTTTTCCTTGCCCAGTAAAACAGTCCACACAATGATTCAGGGACACAAGCTCCTCTCAAATATGGCTCTGCTATTCCTAAGGCAGGTCATTCTATCAACAGAAAAGGGGACGAGAACGTGGAGGGGGTTCACATCCCTCTTGAAAGTCTTGGCCTGAAAGCAATACACAGCACTTCTGCTCGTATTCTATTGGTGAAAACCCATCAGTTGGTTGTACCTAACTGTAAAGGATGATGGACTATGTACTCTAACTCTACCTAGAAAGAAGAGGAAATGGATTTTGGGGGAATAGTTTGGAGTTTCTGCCACAGTGAGCCTTCTGATCATCAAATATTCTTTTCACATATATAGAACACATAGACCCCTTCACAAGGGAGACCACCCTAAGTCTCCTCCAGTTACTGCTTCTAGCTCAAAGTCTGGCATTCCTGGGTGATGATCAGTCCTCCCTGTAAGATCAAGATGTAGTCCCTTGCGGTCTGACACATTTATGAATAAAAAAATAAGTTATATCCCCTCGCTACAACCCCCAAACACACAGATAAAATATACAATGATAAAACTGGGCCAGGAGAAATGTCATAAAAACTGTAATTCAGGAAAGGCACGGATAGGAAGCATACAGCATTCACTGGTTCATTGCAACAGTGAATTCATGCTGGGAAGATACTTGTCAGTGAAGGAAGTTCTGTGATTAGACACTGGATCTCCATTCTGGGAGGAACTCTGTTTCCATTGTTGTTGTTTTGAGAGTTTCTTTTTGGTTCATTTACCTCCATGACCACATCAGGAACAGCTCATCAGAGAGTATTGCCCTTTTTAGGGGTTATATGGTATTGATAGCCTGCTTCCTGTTCATGTGAGTTTGGAGGCCCAAATATTACCTAAGGCTTACGCAATCAAAGGATTTTGAGACTGGGATAAAGATTTATTTGACGGGGTGCCTGGGTGGCTCAGTCGTTAAGCGTCTGCCTTCGGCTCAGGTCGTGATTCCAGGGTCCTGGGATCGAGCCCCGCATCGGGTTCCCTGCTCGGCGGGAAGCCTGCTTCTCCCTCTCCCTCTCCCCCTGCTTGTGTTCCCTCTCTCGCTGTGTCTCTCTCTGTCAAATAAATAAATAAATCTAAAAAAAGATTTATTTGACAATACACTTCTTTCAAGAATTTAGTAGACTTGTGGTCAGTTTACATATAGGCAGTTTCATGTGCTAGTATCAATACCTAAAATTATAACATAGACATAGTTTTCAAACCTTGTTGATTTCTTGGGGTGCCTGGGTGGCTCAGTTAGTGTCTGCCTTTGGCTCAGGTCATGATCCCAGGGTCCTGGGATCGAACCCTGCGTTGGGCTCCCTGCTCAGTGGGGAGCCTGCTTCTCCCTCTCTTCCCCACTCCTGCGCTCTGTCACTATCTCTGTCTCTCTCAAATAAATAAAATCTTTATTAAAAAAACACAAAACAACATTGTTAATTTATTTACTAATGATTCTATCTTGATTCGTCACTGTATACCCAGAACCCAGCACCTAGCATTTAGCTGTAGAAAAACAAAGTAGGAACAATTATTGAATATATAAAGTGTCTAATATGATAGCTATGATATAACTGGTCTCCAACAATGGTAGCTATTAACATGAAGTGAGAAGCTCGTTGGAGAGGAGACAGCAAACCACGGGCTTACTTCTGGCTCTACCACTCTATAGCTGGGTAATATTGTGCAGGTTATTTTCCTCATATTCTAAATTGTCCTTACATTGTTGTTGTTTTGCACTTTTATAATTCACTCCCAATCCTTACTTTTTTTTTTTTGCACTTCTATGATTCATTCCTAATTCTTGATAGAGGAAAGGCACAATCTTGAGATCAAAGTGCCATGAGAAGCCCGTAGGCAGATCTATAGGGAAATCTTCAAACTACAAGTGCTATAAACATAATAGGATTTGTTACAAGAAGCAGTTGCCATCCAGCCCAGTGTGACCCATTAAACATAGGCTCCATCTGATGCAGGAGATTTTGAGCAGGGCCTGTGGTATGTGGTCGGTGGTTAATGTACCTTTGGAAATGCAGCATTGAACACACATATTTTGAAATTTGGTTGTTTGTAATGATACACACGTCTAATATCACAAAATATTTAAGGTGAAGCTGGAGCTGTCCAGGTGTAGAGTAAGACCACTCTTTCAAAATGACTGTAGGCTGGTCATCCCAGCCCTGGCTGCACATTAGGGTCACTTTGTGGGGGGGGGCTGTATAAATACTGTGCTTGGACCCCACTTCCAGAGATTCTGATGTAAGTGCAATTTTGAAACCTCCTCAGTGCTTCTAATTGAGAACCACTGCTTTTGAAAGGGAAGATATCATGGGGAGACACTGTCTTTAGCACCTGCTACTAGAGGCGAGAAAGGTATCCTGCCTGCATTACAGCTTGTATAGATCGTATTACCTGGATTAGTCATGGCCTTCCTTTTGGTCATATTTCTAGATGAGAATTGTTTGCTTCATGAGGAGGGGAGGGATGGGCTGCAGGGGGTCAGCCAAAGCGAGGCTCCATGACAGCCAGGCTGTAACACTTGCCTATTCCTTGGCAGCACATCATGCTTGTCCAGCGTCAGATGTCTGTGATAGAAGAGGACTTGGAAGAGTTCCAGCTTGCTCTGAAGCACTATGTGGAGAGCGCTTCCTCCCAGAGTGGATGTTTGCGGTAAGCGCTCCTGCACGGTCCTTAGATGAAGGCGGGGTCTGGAAGACAGACAGTTGAGAATCCTCTTGTGTTTGTTGATCATTCCAGTCCTCTGGGTGATGCATTTTGCAGGCTTTCACTGGGTATTTTCTCTTTTATCCTTGACGCTGTGTGGATTTGATCACTGGGGACACCAAGGGAAATAAAATGGTGAGAACAGTTTGAAGAGGGGAGTTTCATATCAACTGGCATCTCCCCTTTTGCATCCAGGCAGGCCCACACTGATTTAAAATCATCTCTGATAGATGAGCCCCAACTCCAGTGCGTCTAGCTCTGATTGCTCCCTTGGTGGCATGCCCTGTAGCCGAATACTCATTTCAGCCATTATGAAATTGCACAATGTCTGAAGTCTTGATTGCAGACCTTGGTCATAAAAATAAATAAACAAAAAACTCTTTCCATAGCCACCCCAGCTCAGGCTTCAATTATCTTAGGCTACTAAAAATTATGAACTATTCCTCATTTTCAGTTTCTCCACTCCAAGTGGTCCAATAAACAGTTACTAGAATAATTTCACAGAAACCATTACAGAGTTCTCTTCATCAGGAACTGCAGTAACTGAGTGTCTTAAGCAAATGCTAGATATTTCTTTGACCTTACGTTTATCCTACTCGAAAGTGCACGGCACTGCTACCATTGGTTCTCTTTACCTGAGCGTCAGCAGCACCCAGCTGCCCATTGTCTTTTCAGCATAACCTGGGCCTTAGATCTGGGCACTCTCCTCCCCAAAAATGTATGCCCAGCTGGTAGGTTTCTGCCAAGCGCATGTTCTGCCTCAAGTTCAAAGCCCAGCCCCAAACTCACCTGCTTCTGGAAAGCTACAACCAAATCTATCCCTGCCTTGGGGTTTGTTTAAACTGTATTTCATAATGCTCTTCGAATATCGCTTTAGCACATGTATGCATATGTGTGTGTGCATACACACACACACACACACACACACAGAGAAATGCATACTTTATGTCTTTGAGTGCTTTGGTGTTACTCCCGGTAATTATATTGTACTTATATTCCAGCAGAATAGCTCCCCAGTTAAGAAGTCTGGCTCTGGAGTTAAACATGGGATTGTATTCGTTTTGTGATTTAGGGAAAGATCCTTACAGGCTCCACGCCTCAGTTCCTCATCAAGATGGCTGTGGGGATTAACTGAGTGTTCGGCACCCCGAGGCCCAGAAAACATGAGAGGGGGTTACGATCCCTTCGTCATCGGGCTGGCTGACCTCTGACCCACTTTAGAGTTGCAGGCGACTTGCTCAGTGTTGTTACAGTCTGACCGCTCACAATCTTCCCGTCATGCCTTTGTGAATGCTGAGTTTGCTTTGTTGTTGTTATTCTTCACAACAAACTCAGAACGGCTCAAATCGAAACCATTTTAGTCCTTTTAGTTCAGTGACGTAGGGATCTGCCAAAGTGTGAGTATACGTAGTTTTAAAAGCCTACTCAAACTGAAATTGAATGATTGGAAAATGCAAAAAGAGTGTGCGTGCGTGAGTGTGTGTATACACCATCCACGGTAGGAACTGCAGAAAATAGAGCACAGAACTAACCAAAGAAGTGGGGACATAAGGAAGATAAAGTCTGGTTTGGTGTATCATGATCTCCAGGAATGGATTACACTTTTTACATTTATAAATAGGGCACACAGTTTGATTATTTCTTAAGGTTCAGAGATAGTGCTTTAATGTGTGCCGGGAAAAGGGCCCGAAGCTCCGCGGCCAGGCCCGGGGTGATGGGGTGATGGAAGCAGCAGTGGGGAGAGCAGCTGAGGAGACAGATCTGTGCTACCGGATTGTTCTCTCAGCAGCCACGGAAAATTGCTCCCTGGGCTCCAGCTGTGAAGTACAGGGAGGGAGAGAATCCTCTTCCAGTGAGATAAATTGAGACTCTCAGTCTCTCCTTTTCCTTTGCAAGACTGGTTTGTTTTTTAAGGACTCTTCATTCACTGCTTGCTGATTTTTCAACTGATTTCTTTCTTTTGTTAGAATTATCAAAAAGTAGACTTTATCAGATGGAATGAGCATCAGAGAATCAGTCCACATGGCTGGAAACCATGTGAAACACCCATTATGCTGGCCTGCCTGTCTAAATTCAGTTCATCAAATCCAGTTTTCTTCTCTCTCAGTTGATGAGCAATCGAATGGGCCATTCATGTTGTTAGTCATGCACTATCGCCTTGTGCTTGGCTGATGAAATAAAACTCAGAAGGATCAGTTTTGCAGTTTCTTCGCCTCCCCTAATGTCAGGCTCAGCTTCACCATAGCTAGACAGGAAATGCTGCCATAAAACAAAGTAGAAATTAAGGATGTATGACTAGGCAGTTAGTATCCATTTTCTTATTTGATCTTCACTGCAATCATCTGAAGTGTGTATCACGTCTGCTGAAGGAGGGAATAAGCTCAGATGCATAAAACATCTTGCCCCAGTGTGTCTGACCCCAAAACCCACATTTAATCCTTCTTGCCAGTAGTTGGTCATCCTTGAATTAAAGTTTTCTGGACTTTCTGTGGTTAACCAGGGGTAGAATGGACAAGATTCCTCCTGTTCCAATTATAAGGTCAGGCAACTGAATTAGAGAGGCTTTTGCCCTGAAGGTATTTGACCACCAGACTCAGAGGTTTAGAGGCTGACTGAGTCCTTGTCAGAGTATTCGTCAATTGAGTTTCAAAATAAGTTGTTAGTGGAAAAGCCAAGTAAATTGTGTGACCCATTTCTCACATACACACATACATACACACAAACACTGATAATCTTTTTGCTTATTGATTTTAAAGATTTTTTTGAGAAAGAGAGAGCAAGTGGGGGTAGGGGCAGAGGGAGAGAATCTTCTGGTAGACTCTCTGCTGAGCATGGAGCCTACGTGGGGCTCAATCTCACGACCCGACCCGTGAGATCATGACCTGAGCTGAAAACAAGAGTCGGATGCTTAACTGACTGAGCCAGCCAGGTGCCCCTCGTTTTGCTTATTTTGTAGTCATGACAGCTTATTAATCCCTGTGGGGAGGTACCAATTGAATATATGTGATATACACAGTGTATTCTTAGAACCATGCTTGATGCCAGAAAAAGCGAGAAAAGGTTCTGCTTTCAAGGATCTTAGAATCCAGTTGGGAAAATGGGTTACTTATTCATAGCCTACAATTTCACAACTGTTAAATAGAATAAAATGATTTTGGAAGTCACTCTTAGATATGAATTCTAGAATTCGTATGTGTCCTAAACTCTATGTCTCTATGTCAAGGGCCTAGGGAACATGAATGTAGAATTATAAGACTTGACCCAAACGGAACATTAAAAAAAAAAAAAAAAAAGACTTGACCCTGAGACTTTACCATGGCCAAAGAAAGATCTTTAAGAACAAATGATGCCCTGTGGCATATTGACCATGAATAAGTTATCAGCATTTTTATGCAGGTGAAATAAATTGGTGGCTGGAGCTTGGTGTGGAGAAATGGAGCCTGTTGTGCCTTTTCTCCAGTGGCTAGGTTCTATGAGTTAAAGTAGGGCATGAGAGGAAAGGAGGAAGCCAAGAGGGAGAGCATCTTGTGTAACTTCTCTTCAACCCCAGCTGTTCCTGAGCCACATCCTTTCCCCCTGGAAGCTATTTCACTGCCTTTTTCCAGCTGCTGGGAATATTTAAAGTTTCCTAGAGCTCAGAGCTGAAGCTCTTAGTGACTACATCCAGGGACAGCTTAGCCAAAGAATTCTGGCTTCTGCCATTGAGTGGTAAGTGTCACAGGAAGCCTAAACACAACAAGGAGGAAGACTAAAGCACATTAGCAACAGCTCAGAAATGTTCTATGTAATTCTAAGTTTGTAGATAATTGAAAGCTAATCATTCAAGTCCTAAGCCTTTTCAACAGAAATATTGTGGACAGAATCTTTTCATAATTAACCTTAGTGTCATCATTTCATACGTATCATTATCTGTATTGTACAGTCTTAAATAGCAATGTCCTTAAATGTCATTGCTATGTATCGATCAGTTTCACTCTTAACTGAAAGCACCCAGTCTGTAGAACATTTCTTTTTTTTTTAAATTTTTTATTGTTAAGTTAATCACCATACATTACATCATTAGTTTTTGATGTAGTGTTCCATGATTCATTGTTTGCGTATAACACCCAGTGCTCCATGCAGAACGTGCCCTCTT